ATTTATTAAGGTGGGCTTTAAAAAGTTAGAATCTTTCTCTCCACTCAAATGTAAACTCTGTGAAGACAAGAACCATGTTCATTTTGTTGATTGGTATGTCTGGCATCAGGCTTGGCCTGTAACGCATTTTGTTGAATGAAAGAGTACAAGCGGCTTATTGCGGTTTCAATACATTGTTCATCTTGAAATAAGCTTAGTAAAACCTTATTTCTTCCTTATTGACAGTAATTCAAAAACGTTATTTAGAAAAATATCTTAAATTCGTCTTATCTTTCAAAAAGAGATTTTAAGTGAGAAAAGGCAACAGTGGATCTCTGCACGTTTGAAACCTGTTTGTGACAATGGACAAAAGCCTGCTGGTCCTAAGAAAGGAATGTGAGTGAACTCTGCAGAAGATGGGAGCTGGGATGTCTGAGGAGAAGCAGGAGCAGGAAGACAACTAGCAAAAGAATTGCATTAATTTCAGAAATGGAAAAGTTTATTGGAAGCATTTTTCAAAACCCTTCAGAAGCTAGTAAAATAATATTTTACTATGTTTTCTCAAGCTCTTAAAACTTCACAAATGCAATGCATGATAAAATGTGAAAATAAGTATTGGCAACTAATTATATTCTCTGGGGAGATTTAATTGAAAAGGGAGCATATTTGCACTATTTCTCCGCAGCTTGATGTTTATGGCGTCTGGACAAAGTAGGACGAACATTTGAAAATCCTGACATAACTGGTATTTAAAGAATAGCAATTGGCTAACATTTGTGGCTCTGTATGTTGAATATTTTGGCTCCCGTCTTCTGGTATTCATTCTGAAAGATTTATAATCCTTTAGGGAGTGTGGTCAGTGACAAGAGTAGAACTAAATCCTGAAATGTGGAAAAACTAACTTTTCCTAATATAAAACTGTTCTAAAAAAATCCCTCAAGCTTATGAATATGTTTCCAGATTTTCAGAAAAAGCCGATTTACAAAATTTTTTTTTCTATGAGGATCTCACTTCTTAATGATAAATGTAAATAGTTTTTTTTTTTTACCTTAAAATATCCCTGAAATAGATATTTCAGAGAAATATAAACTCTTACCTTTTGGACATCAGCTGCAATGAGGCGACTTTTTAAAAACTATATGTGATTGGTTATAGGGTAAAAAATGAAATAAAGCTCAAAAATAGAAGTAGTCCAGACAACAAAAATTAATACAACTTGAAATAAGAAACAAAGATTTTGCTGAGTGCATAAGCAGAAAATTACTACCAAAGTAAATATTATAAAGCAAGAATAACAGTCAAGAGAATTCTTGATCATGCACAACTGAGAATATCCAGATGATGCTTTCTTCTCTGAAAAAGTCCTGGGATGGGAGAAGGCTCTGGGTTTGACTGAAGCATGACAGGCTGCCCCAGGTCTCTGTTTGCTTCCTAGTCATGCTCAAGACCAGAACGCTGTGCCCAAGGATCTCCCTCTCTCCCAAGCTCTGAGTTTGGATTTTCAAACTCTTAATAAAGGACCCCAGCTGAATTCCTTCTGAAACCCCCCCAGGGAATTTTCTGCCTCTTTTTAACCATTTAAATTTGGAGAAAGAGCCTTGTTGAAAGAATCCTTTTTTTCCTTACTTTTTTTGCTTATTCTTTTTGTGTCATTTCATTTTCGTTAATTAATTATGTGCATTATACTTTAAGGTTTACAAAATATCAGACTTCTGTTTTTCAGTCAAAGAAAAGAAAAACACTGCGTGTGTTCTTCTCATACCCCCAAATAAGGGAGTTATAACTTGACTAATAGTGGATTTATTATTTTATATTTTAAAACCAACTATGGAAAATGGTGTTGGTGACATTTTTCTTGATAGTAAGAAGAAAAAGACACTAAAAGCTATAAAAGGTAACTTATTTTAAATGTAAATAATAAAAGTTAAGGTTCTTGTTATTTTAAACTCAATCTTAAATATAAGGACAAGCCTGGTTTACCCATAGGGAGAATAAGTATGAAAAATAGACATTGTTCATGACATCGCCTCAGGACATGTGTTCATAACATTTCTAGAGAAGTGGAAGGAATTTTCTTAAAAGGAGTCAGAAAAAGGCTGAAGTCTAAACCTTTCCTTCTTTTTTTTTTTTTTTGGTTCTGATGTTTGAGCTGGGGGCACTCTACTTTTGAGCTGCATTCTCAGCATTTTTTCTTTTCTTTGTTTTATTTTGTTTTATGTTGTTTTGTTTGTTTTGAGACAGAGTCTTGCTAAGTTGTCAAGGCTGGTGTTGAACTTATGATCCTCCCCACTCAGCCTCTCAAGTTGCTGGGATTACAGGGTGTATCATCATACCTAGGTCCTTCACTGTATACCCTGTAATAATCCCATTTCAGTTTCTTATTTTAGCAGTAATATATTGTATTGAATTTGCAAGAAGATTTGCATATGTGTGCATGTGTGACTTAAAGGAAGATGGGGTTTGGCAGTCTGTAAGTAATTTCTATTTTCTTTGCTAAGCCATATATATAAATACAAATATATATATATATATATATATATATATATATATATATATATATATACACACACATACATATATATAATCAACTTTTAAAACTTTCTATGATATATTTTAAAATACTAACAAGAAAGAAATTATATAATATATAGAACTACATATTTCAATATATAAGTATATAATGTTTATGTATTTTCTCCGTATGTCAGCCCATTTTCTGATGCTTTAAGAGAATATGGCTGGGTGAAGTGGCACACACATGTAATCCTAGTGGCTCGGGAGGTTGAGTCAGGAGGATCAAAGCCAGCCTCAGCAAAAGCGAGGTGCTAAGCAACTAGTGAGACCCTGTCTCTAAATAAAAAACAAAATGGGGCTGGGGATGTGGCTCAGTGGATGAGTGCCTCTGAGTTCAAACAGCACCCTCCCCTCCACCAAAAAAAAAAAAAAAAAGAGAGAGAGAGAATATGAAGATGGGGTAACTTATAAAGAAAAGATATTTATCTCTCACAGTTCTAAGGAGGCTTGGAAGTCCAATATCAAGGGCTGGCATCTGGTGAGGGCCTTCTTGCTGTTTGAGCCTCGAATGGCAGACTACATCAATCACATGGCAAGAGGGCATGTATGAGAGAAAGAGAGCAAGAGAGAGATCTCTTTTATAACAAAGCCACTCCTGGGAAGCTTAATCCACTCTGGGATAGTGGAATCAATCCTTTTGTGAAGGCAGAGGGCCCTCATGACTTAATCGTTTCTAACACCATGATAATGGCAATTCAATTTTAACAGAGTTTAGGAGGGAGCATTCAAATCATGGATGAATATTATGTAATGGCAACATTAAATGAAATGAAAACAGATAATTCAAAGGTATTTTCCTTTAAAAAAAAAGAGGGATTTTAGACTATTGGTATTGTTTTGAAGCACGAACCAAAAGCTGTCTTTTATGAGCATCTTTTATAAAAATAGTTTCTTAGCAACAGAAATGCAGCTTTTGTGTCTTACCAGTCATTTTGGTGCTTGTGCTGGAACTTAAATTAGCCAGTCTCAGTGGCAGTAGGAGTGGCATGCACTAGGCCATGTTCTTTAGGTTTTCAAAGCGGTAATGACCAGTGGACCTTCCTTGAGATTCTTGTAGTGAATTCTGATTTTAATTTCCTGGCAGGTCTGTTTGACAATCATTAAAAATGTTTAGTCTCTCAGATTAGTTTTAATTAAAAGAATAGCTCACCACTAGTCTTCACATGTGGTGATGAGTCAGTGGATGTCCACTCCATTGGTTCTCTGTGTTGGGCCAGCAGGTCACTCACAGGCTTTCTTTTCCCCCTTTATCCTGCCCCTCCCACCCATCTGCAGGTCTTACTGGAACTGCTTTCTCCTTCCCCACAGGCCTCACTCTCCTCCTTTAGGTTCAGTTGCTCTGCTGCCTTCCACACCTTTCTCCAGACTTTCTGTTCCCTGTACACCTATGCAGGAAAAAAACATGCCACGTGCTTTCCTGCCACATGAGTCAACCCAGAAGACTTCTGTGACCTCAGAAGGTGTAGGAACTTCTCCCCACCAACGGGCAACCAATCCTGCAGCAGCAAGCACCAGATGGATGTCTTCTCATCTCTAATTCAATTCTGTTCTGACACACTCTGCCTGGAGATAGCTTCAGATCCCTCAGGTTGAGGGCTCAGTCCTCATGGATGTCTGCTAACTGTCCTTGCAGCCACCAATCGAGGAGTGGACTGTGGATCAAGCACAGGGACTGCAACACATGGCCTCATGCCCAGGGCTGTTCCTATGGGGTAAATGGTTTGCTGCTCACAGGCCTAGCATGAGGGGAGTGGCCTGCCACTCAGACACCCTTAATGCATGCTATGTACCTGTCCCCACACCTCTCTAGAGGCTAATGGGTTGGAACTAAAAATTTCAACTTTTAATGTCACCTTGATCTTTCTGGTGATGGGCTCCCATCCTGAAGCTGAGTAGGGGGGGCCAGCATCAGTCAACTTCAGCATATAAAATATACTTACCACTTTGAAGATTATACAGATTTTAGGTGTCATATGCCATAAACAGGAACAAAGTCCAAATATATATATTTCACAGCACCATGTCTGTAGGAATCATTTTCAAACTTGGGTTGCTCTGCACAAAACACTGTTCAGGAACTGGGGTTCCCTCTCTTAACACTGCATACAACTTCCCTTCCTCAGTCGCTCTCTTCAGGCATGCCCCTTGCCTCTCTTTAACGTATTAATATTACCTAATGTTATAGCTGTTTAAAGGAGACAGACCACCTTTAAATGTTGACTCTTAATTAGAATAACATTTTATGATGCTCTGTACAGCTTTTTCATGCTTCAACTCGACATGATTCATTAAACAAATTATAGCCCCACTCAGAGAACTTAAAAAAAAAGATTAATGTGCTATGTATGGGGAGACATATTTCCTAGTTCATGGATTTGTAACCATTTGGTCTATTTCTATGGGAACATAGTTTTATTTAACCTTTCTGTGGCTTTGTATCTTCCTAGGGAGGAAATCAGACTGCAACAGTGATTGCTTTGTGTTCAATGAAGGATTTCAATTTAGCTCAAGAGACCTGTCAACTGGCCATCAGAGATGTTGGAGGCCTTGAAGTTTTAATAAATTTGCTTGATACAGATGAAGTCAAATGTAAGGTGAGTGGCTTTTTCACAATGGTTGAGAATTCTTGGACCCAATTCTCATGGCTTTCTTTGAAACTGTAGGAAGCTGAACGTTTCTTATCTTTTTTTTTAATATTTATTTTTTAGTTGTATTTGAACACAATACCTTTGTTTTATTTATTTATTTATTTTTTTTTTGTGGTACTAAGGATCGAACCCAGGGCCTTGCACTACCATGGAGCCCCAGCCCTAGCCCCTATTTATTATCTTTATCTGCTATTTTTGCTCATAACCTGCTTTTTCTATTAGGTGTGCTCTCTCCTCCCTGCTTTTTCTTCTTTCTCTTGCTTTATCTGGAACCATGAATGTTTGTTTGCATAAATGAAGAGAAATAGGAGGATATGTGTTACCCCTGGGAATGGAAACTATTTCTTAAAAAAACTTGATTGGGGAAGGATTTTAGATAGACTTAAATTTTCTTAAACATAGCTCTGGTTATGTATTAAGCGCTCATTCATCTATCACTTTTTTCCCATGTAGATTGGTTCATTAAAAATCCTGAAGGAAATCAGTCATAATCCTCAAATCAGACGTAATATTGTTGACCTTGGTGGCTTACCAATTATGGTTAGTATACTTGATTCTTCATACAAGAGTCTGAAGTGTTTGGCAGCTGAGACCATTGCAAACGTTGCCAAGTTTAAGAGAGCCCGGCGGGCTGTGAGACAGCATGGCGGTATCAACAAGCTGGTGAGTACCACTGACATCCTCAGGGCACAAGAGCTGCCACCCATTGCCTCCTGCCTTTCTGGCCACTCCAGACATCAAGTAGCTATAAAGGCATGCTATGGGAGTCTTCTTTGTATATCATATATGTCCTTAATAATTACTTTTGTATGTTTGCATTATCAAGCATGTTAAATCTCATTTTTTGAAAGAAACAGAAAAAATTTAAAGCAGGCGTGATTGCCACCGATATCATTGGTAGGGATCCATTTGTGCATAAGAGCAGAGATGGTAAGAGATGGTAAGACCTGTATGATGGAAAGCAGGCTGGAAGCCCTGGCCTCCAGTGTGCTTACTGAAAGTACTCTTCCATAGAGAAGGTCAGGTTAGATCGAAATGTGAGACTAAAAACAGCCCAGTCTTTAAGAACATTCAAGAGTAAAACAATGTGTAGGATATCCATGGGAAACATCTGTAGTCAGCCATCAGTACTGTGTTTCAGAAAACTACTTAGTAAAATGAATAAAATGTATATTATATTATATAAAGTCATAACAGGATAACAGTTTTTAACAGTTGATGTTTATGACCTCAATTTTCTTTTTCATTACTGGGGATAGAACCCAGGGCATTCTACCACTGACCTACACCCCCCAATCCTTTGTATTTTTATTTTGATACAAGTTTTTTTTCCTAAGTTGCCCAGCCTGACCTTGAATTCATAATATCCTCCTGCCTCAGTCTTCCAAGGAGCTGGGATTGCAGATGTGTGCCACCACGCTCAGCTCTGATCCCAACTTTTAGAGAGCTACCCACAAGCATATATAAATACATATGCAAAATTAGAAGTGGATCCACAAGTTGTTGACAGGGTTTTCTCTGAAATGATTACTGATTTTTTGATAGAAAAAATGTTTTTCAACATTTGTCTTCTATGAATGTCCTACTTTTATAATAAGAAAAAAATGATTATTTCAATAGCTGCCATCAAAAGAAAAGAATATATCAGCATTCTGCTCATAAGCTTTGCCATGTTGGCAAGGACCTTAAAAATGTACATGTAGCCAGGCACGGTGGTACATGCCAGTGATCCCGGAGACTTAGGAGGCTGCATCAGGAAGATCACAATTTCGAGTCTGGCCTTAGGAAATTAGGGAAAACTTGTCTCTAAATAAATAAATAAATAACTGCCTGAGGAAGTAGCTCAGTGGTAGAGCATCCTTGAATTCAATCCACAGCACCAAAATAGATCAATAAATAAAGTAAGTAAGCACAATGTGGAAATATGTTTTCATACTCCATAGTAAGGATCAATATATACTGGGTCTCTTCCACAGCTTTTATCTTTCTTTATTGTCTCCATTTCTTCACCTTAAGTTCTTTAACATATCTTAGTGCCTTTCACAGCACTGGGCCACTACCTTACACAAAGGGTTAATATTTATTGGATGAATATGGATTTTAATGTTAATACGTACAATGAGAAGTGTATTCAGAAATTTACTGAGATCTTCTGTGTTATCAATTGTCATTGCAAAGTACTTATAAAATATAATTATTTGCTTCAAAATGAGATAGACATGTTTGCATAGGTAGATGAATACATATGTGATAAAACATATACAGCAGATTTTATAGACTCTAGGTGGTAGAAATATGAATATTTATTGTGCAATCGCTGTACAATTCTATTAGTTTTTCTTTGAAAAAAATTTATAATTAAATGTTGAGAGAAATGTAATCATTATTATGATTATTATTATTTTGCTTAAATATTGAAATCATATGGTAGATTGATGTGGTTGTTGACTGGAACTGCTTCCATTAAATCATATGAATGAATAGTGCAAAATAAAACTGAAACATGTTTTTTGAGAGTTTTCTATATCACATTTGGGGAACTGGTATTTCAACAATTGTACTTACCCAATCAAGATAATAGCACACATTTTAATATAATTTTAAATGATAGCTAAATTGGAAACAGGAATGACCAAGAATGGATAGACTAAGAATAATAGACTTGCAATTGCTGGGTTGAGAATACACCTGGGAAAGATTAGGATTTAGGATCTACTTTTTGGTTGCAAGGCATGGGGAAGGAGTACTAGGTAACTCATAGATAATGTCCTAACCAAAACTGGAAGTGAGCAAGATGACTCGAAACAGAAGTGTACCGTGGCTGGTTATGGCCTCAGAGTAAGGGCCCCAAGGCTACAGTAAGAGCCAGTTGGGTGGTACTGGCCATGGTGTGTTTTGGGTACCAGATGGAGGTCATTTTCTGGAGACTGGGCAACAAATGACAGGGTAAAAGACACAAAGTCTGAGCAAACAGGGAGAATGCATCTATCTAGGGAAATGCATCTACCAGGTCTAAGTGATGATTATATGGACCCACCAGTGCTGTCAGTACCAAGGCCTGTTTCCATGTTCTTTTTACCTTTTTAGTTGTCGGGTTTCTGTTCTGGAGACTAAAAGGCTCAGGGGTCACTCCAGGTAAAATAACCACACAAGAGACACAAATACCTTTTTCTTTGGGGTCACTGTGATGGCTCCTCTGACCTTAAGGGTCTTCAGAAAGAGAGAGAATGAGAGCATGCCCTGATCCCTTTTATTGAGGAGAAGCTATTCAAATGAGGCAAGGGGTCAGGTTTCAGGGGGCTGAGTCTATCTTCATGATGTCCACTGTCAGCAGGTTGATTGACACCTGGGTAGGCCACACCCTAGGGCACAGTAAGAGAAGGGGACACACACAAGGCACTTTCATGGAAGATTCTATCCTAAACAGGGCAAGGGGTTATATTACAAAGGAACAGGTGAGCATAGCTCCTCCCATGGGGCTGTAGCAAGACACACCCATGCACGAGACACCGACTGTCAAACCCAAGAAGGGTGCTACATTTCTGCGACTGAGTGCCTCAGCACCCAGCTGGGGAGTGTAACCCAGTCACGTGTAAGGATGGTCTCCCACATTTAGTAGCAAACATTCCTGACAATTCCTAAGTGCAGTGTGGAGGCAGGTAAAGAATCAGGTAGTGGGAAAAGAAATGAATGTACTTCCTTGACCTTAGTGATGTCACAATCTAATGGAGGTACAGAGTATGGGGGTAGGTAGGATATAGATGAAACTATAAGACTTATGGTGAGCTTCAGCTATTTAACTGAAGCCAGTACAGGGAATGGTGGAGGAACAAAGGAGGGGGATGGTCAGTTGAAGAGGGGAGATGTTGCTTACCAAGGTTTGGGGAGGTAAGTTTTGTCAGGCACACCTGCTGGGGAAAGGCATTTCAGGAAGATAAGGAATGTTGGTAAAGATCCAGAGCTAAGAAACATCATTGAGTAGAAATTGCAAGTGACTTAATGTGGCCAGAGTCAAGGTGAGATGAGTCAACTAGCAAGATAAAGGTGGAAGGCCATGTGCTCACTCAGGGCTTTATTCAGTGAGTTAGAGTTTGGACTTCATTGTGATAATGAGGGAATAGCTGTAGTAGAAAGGTACTCTTATGCTGTCTGCCTTGTGTTCAGTCCCATTGTCTTAGAATTCCTTTCCTGCATTACTACCCCATTGGTAGTCTGTAGTTAGAAACCATGTGAACATTCCCTCCCTTTGCTGGCCTCTGTCTTTCCTTAAGCCATTTGTTATGAGACTGTAACTGTCTACTCATGCTAGTCCCAGGAATTTGGAATTGGGATTGAGAGACTCTACTTAGTCTGGGTTACTCCTTTCTAAATTTAGGATGAAGGGTAGCATGAATAGGTGGGCTGTATCCAAGGCAATTGACCAATAGACAAAGAAGAATGGAGTAGATGATGGCACCAGTGTCCTCAGATAAAGATGGTGAGCCCAGAGAATGGCAGGTAGCTTCTTATTGTGGTTCCAGTCACAGCTCTGGGAGGTCTGGCTTCACTTTCTCCCAGAGGCAATCTGAACTACTGCTGTATCCTTTTAATAAATTGCCTTTTCCTTAAGGTCTTCAGTGACTTTGATTATTACAAAGGACAAGGAGGATGCTGGCAGCTGTGCCGTTTGGTTTTGGTAACCCACGTAGAAGGCTGTGTGCTTCCTAAAGTTCTCATGGTATTAAGTGTGTTTAGATCATTCATTTCTCATTAGAAAGCTCTAATGGTTTTAGGAAGCTTAGTTTTCTGAGGTACAAGAAAGACTGAGAATATTTTTTACAAATATTATTAATATAAATATTAGAACCATATTTAGAAAAATACTGTCTTGGTGAGATTTTTTTTTTTGTCAGAAGAAAATAAAAGAGTTTCCAAATCTGGAGGAAAATATCTTGAAGGGTTTTTGTTTGTTTCTTTATTTTCACTGGTTGCTGTGTAGTGTAAATGTTGATTTTTAAATGGTGATGATGGAGGTGAGCTTGGTAGCAACCTTGTGGCTACTGAATGGTGAATTAAGTTTTAAAGACATCCAAGTTCATTGCATTCATCTCTTCTTGTAGGTTGCTTTACTAGACTGTGCACAGAATTCAACAGAACCAGCTCAATCAAGTCTGTATGAAACCAGAGATGTGGAAGTGGCTCGCTGTGGGGCTTTGGCACTGTGGAGCTGCAGTAAGAGTCATTCAAATAAAGAAGCCATTCGTAAAGCAGGGGGCATCCCTTTGCTGGCTCAGTTACTGAAGACTTCTCATGAAAATATGTTAATTCCAGTAGTGGGGACACTGCAAGAATGTGCATCAGAGGTACACAAACCAATTCTGCTTCCTTTTTTTTTCTTACCTTGACTTTTTTTAGTTAAAAATAATAATTTTTAAGATTACATAGCTGTTTAGGATTTTTTTTTTCAAAATATTAGCTTTCTATTAGAAAAAAGATCAAACTTCAATGTTGGATAATTCTCTTATGGTATAGCTATGTTCAACTTTGACTTCAGTGTTTATTTACTTAGAAAGTTTGCTCATCATAGTTATTAATAAATGTAAATGGCTAATTATATTCATGCATTTTATACACATAAATATTTAAGCTCATATTCCTAGGAAAACTACCGAGCTGCAATCAAAGCTGAAAAGATCATTGAAAACCTAGTGAAGAATCTAAATAGTGAGAATGAGCAATTGCAGGAGCACTGTGCCATGGCCATTTACCAGGTAGGAGCCTACTCTTCTGCCTCTATTGGTGTTCTTTCTCATCTAGCTCAAAGGAATATTTCTAATTGTTTCTAAACACATGACCCTTCTCTGGGAAGGGGACTCAGAAATCTGAATTTTAAGAAAGCATCTCAGAGATTTTCATCCCTGAATAGGTCTGAGAACTATTGTGTTGCCATAATGGTAGATACTGTATTTGTTGTATATGTCAGATATAAACATGCTTGAATATATCTGATTACTTATACTTCTATAAGACATATATATTGCCTGGTGTGGTGGCACATGCCTGTAATCCCAGTGGCTTGGGAGGCTGAGGCAGGAGGATTATGAGTTCAAAGCCAGCTTCAGCAATGAGTTGCATAGTTGCAACTCAGTGAGAACCTATCTCTAAATAAAATACAAAATAGGGCTGGGGATGTGGCTCAGTGGTTAAGTGCCCCTGAGTTCAACTCCTATACCCCCCACCCAAAAGGACACATATATCTGTGTTTTCTAAAACAATTTATTTAGCATATAATCCTATATTGCTTTTTGCACGGCCTATTCAAACACAGTAATCTTGAGAAATTTATCACTATCAAACAAGATGGGGTGTGTGTGTGTGTGTGTGTGTGTAAGTGTGTGCCTGTTTTATCTTTTCATAATTTTCGTTATTTTTTGTAAATTATAATATTCATAGTCTATCATAAAACAGAATGATAAAGAGGAAAAGAAGGCCTTGACATTTAAATGAGATTCTGGCTCATTCCTGACCACACCAGCTTCTACCCACCCAGAGCAGACTTCCTAGAGGAAGATACCCAGGACTCCTTTCAGTAGGGGATTAGATTCGTTTCCTAGGGCTGTATAACAAAGTACCATGGACTGGATGGCTTTACAGAAATTTATCTCCTCACAGTTCTGTAGGCTGCAAGTCTGAGATCAGGGTATCAGCAGGGTTGGTTTCCTCTAAGGTCTCCCTCCCAGGCTTGAGTAAGTGGCTAATAGATGGCCATCTTCATTTTCCCCGTGTCTTCATGTGATGTTTCCTTTGTGTGTATGCCTGTGTCAATCTTTTCTTACTGGGAGAACATCCTATTGGATTGCACCAATCCTGATGATCTAATTTAGCTTTAATTACCTCTTTAAAGACCCTGTCTCCATATACAGTCACATTCTGAGGTACTGAGAGGACATTGACATGTGACACAATTCAGCCCATAACAAGGATTTATGACCTTGACTTATACATATCTCTCATATGAGAAGCCATTAAGAGTTGTTTAGAAATTGTGACTATTTTTTAAAATTTGCCACTGAATGAGAATCAGAAATCATACTCAGAAGATAAACATAGCAAGTGTAACTCTATGGGGTATTATGGTGAGGATCTCTTCTAGTGGCCCTCATTGATGACACACAACATACCTCTACTTTGCCTAGCATCAGAAAACAATTGTATGCTTAGGATAAAAGGCAAATCAATCATGAATGCCTCATGTGTTGGCTCTTTAATCTGAGAATAATAATCAGTTGGATATATTTATATAGTCAATATTTATTCCAGAGGATGAAACAAACATGAACAAATATTTGAATAAAATGTCAGGTACTATTGATAAAATCCACTGCTCTGAGCACAGAAACTCGACTGAGAAAATTCTTTGTCTTCAGGTTTCAAGGGTCATTCAAGGTCTGACTACCTCCCTGTCATTTGTCTGTCTTCTCCACTATATTTTCCTAAAACCCTGGGTGTCTCACTGTAGACATCCTTCTCCAAGAATGGGAGTATTCTATTTTTTTCTTACTGAACTTTGCCTCTGGCTCTGTAGATGCCCAGGCTACTCCAAATTGGCTTGGGAGAATTGCCAAGTTGTAAAAACTGCTGTGCATTCCCAGAACCATGTAAGGGGAGAGAGATATCATCAGATAGCTGTTGGTGTTGGGGAAGAATTATTAAATTTTGCTTGGATACATCTTGATACTTTGTGAAAAGAAGTTTCATAGTTTCTATGCTCTTTGATTTATGATGGAATTATATCCCGCTAACCCAATGATAAGTTGAAAATATTGATGTGTGTTGAAAACAACTAATTTACTGAACATCACAGTTTAGCAACATAGTCTCCTGTAGCATATTGGTTGTTCGCCATCTTAATTGTGTGAATGATTGAAAGATTCAGCTCACTATTGCTGTCCAGCATCACAGAGTATTATACTGCAGATCAGTAATCCGGGAAAGATAAAAATTGAAAATTTGAAGTAAGGATTCTACTGGGTACATACCACTTTCATGCCACCCTGAAGTTGAAAAATCATAAGTTGACGACCAGCCTTGCCAGCAATCATTGATTGCTGGAGAGACATTATATCACTGATAGACTGTCATTTGACTTTTTGTATAGTGTGCTGAAGATGAGGAAACCCGTGACCTGGTGAGGCTCCATGGAGGACTTAAACCGCTGGCCAATCTACTCAATAACACTAAGAATAAAGAATTGCTGGCTGCTGTCACAGGGGCAATATGGAAATGCTCCATCAGCAAGGAGAATGTGATCAAGTAAGAGAAGGCACTCAATATTCTGTAATAAAGATCAGGCCAAGGAATCACATTCTTGGAATTTCAGTGCTATTTTCATAAAGGGGTGGCTCTAATTTATTCAAAATTGCACATTCTGGGTTAAGTTGGTAGCATGAAGGGATCCTTAGAAATGAAGGGTCCTTCTCAATGTGTTACTACAAGACAATGATTGATGTACCTCAGTAGGGCGAAGGGCTTTGCTGGAGTGACCTTTCTGTGTGAATAGGCTGTTTGGTATATGGACAGTCATTTAAATCAGAAGTATCTCTGCTGCTGTTTCCTGCAGAGACCTATCAAGGTGAAGGAATAAATTTCCCAAGGAATCTTTAGAGATGAAAGTGTTTTCATCCTTTTTTCCTGTTCTAAAGATATACAGATGAGTCAGCAGAATGCCAACTAACCACTCCTGGAGTAGTTGTTTTCAAAAGTGATTTCTTTGAAATTTTATTTTGTTATTTCAAAGTGCTTGTAAATTTTTTAAATTTATTTTAACCTTCAAATTTAACTCTTTTTGTTTTATATGTTTAGAGTTCACACTCTCAATGAGTATTCTAAGACACCTCCTTCTTGTCTCCATCTGATGAGTTCCTTTAACAGGAAATTCATATGTCCTGACTCAGAATAAACATACTTAGTAAAGAATGTATAGGGAGTTCATAACCCACTTTAATCAAATGTATGAAATATGATATGTCAAGAGCTTTGTAATGTTTTGAACAACTAATAAAAAAACATAAAAAAAAGAATGTATAATGAAGTTGTGACAAGATCAGGGTTAGCTCAACTAATTATTTTTTATCTTAATTAAATGTTCCACCACATTTCAGCAGTAAAAATTCAGCTGCATCATGATACTGGAAAAACACTGCTGAAATTTATTAGAAAGGGGAAAAGATGTTATATACAGAAACTATTGATTTTCAAATATTTACTTTTATATATCATACTTTCTTTTGGTTTAAAATATAATTAAATAATCAGCAAAATTGCACAATGAGAGAGATGCTAAAATGTATAATGGTTAGTTAATATTGAAGATATCTGAAGTTGACAGTTTTTTTTTTCTTAATGTAAGTAGCACAAGCTACTAATTCTGGGAGACTTATTAAACCCAAAGGTGCAAAAAAGTTATGTTTAATGTGTTTATAAGTAAACATATGTCATTTGTTTTCATGAAATATTTAGTATACTTTGTCCACGTAAAATCACCTCTCTGTAAGGAGGAAACTCTTAGCAGAATGGAATTGCAGAACTAAGATGTGATCAGAACCATAGCTGTCTTACAGGCTGTTCAGCTTAGTGACCCAGGGACAATCTGGAGCAGATGGCTGGCTGTGGATGACAGCCTCATATTAACCAAGCTTCAGATTGGCCATCTGATAATGGTAATTAAATAGTATCTACATTGTAAAGTTCTGTAAGGATTGAATAAGAATGTGATTGGCATTTAGTAATTTTTAGCTGTTAGAGAAACATTACTTTCAGCATAAAGCGAGCTGATAATTGCAATTATATATTAGCCAAATGTCTCATGCTCTTGTGATGATCTTAGGTTTCGGGAATACAGAGCCATTGAAACTTTGGTGGGACTTTTAACCGATCAACCCGAAGAAGTACTTGTGAATGTGGTTGGGGCCTTGGGAGAATGCTGCCAAGAACATGAAAACCGAGTCATTGTCCGGAGATGTGGTGGCATTCAACCGCTTGTGAACCTCCTCGTTGGAATAAACCAGGCTCTTCTTGTGAATGTCACAAAGGCAGTTGGTGCTTGTGCGGTAGAGCCCGAGAGTATGGTGTAAGTGCACTTGGAGATGGAGAGATTTTATATGCTCATTTCAGGACACCTTTGTGTGGTCATAGAATAACATCATTGCTTAGAATTAATGTGCACAGATGATGAAAAGACAAAATATGTTATAAGTAATTACAAGTTTACTGAAGCATGACTTATTGAGCCAAAATGTTATTTTGGAAGAAATGTAGGGCAGGAATAGGCATTTGGGAGGATTTCCAATGACTGCTAATGAAATTCCCATGTGAAACCTTAATGCAATGAACATATTTCTGTCCTCCCAGAGAAGAATTATCTCTCTATATCTAACTAGGGTGTGTCTAGTTCTTGTAGTATGCTCATGGTATCTTACTACTTATTTCTTACTGATTCAGCAAACATATTTTGAGTACCTAACAAGAACTTTGAACTATGAAGTGAAAAGACAAAGGATTTTAAACTCTGATCTTAGTCCTCAAGCAAATTGTTGTCTATACAGGAAGAAAAGACTTAAATGTGAATCAAAAATATTCAGAAACATAGTTGTATCTGTGCCAGGTGTAGTGGCGCATGCCTGTAATCCCAGTTATTCAGGAGGCTGAGGCAAGAGGATCACAAGTTTGAGGCCAGCCTCTGCAACTTAGTGAGACCCTGTCTCAAAATAAAAAAAAATACAAATGGCTTGGGATGTAGTTCAGTAACAAAGTGCCCTTGGGTTCAATCCTGAGTGTCAAAATAATGATGTCGGTAATGATCATGATAATAATAATAATAATAGCTACAATAATTTCTCTTGTACTGAACAGTTACAGAATTTTTTTCTTTTCATTGTTCCCTAAACTATGTAGTATAACAACTATTTACATTGCATTTAGGTATTATAAAAAAAAATCTACAGATGGATATTAAGCACTTGAGAAGATATGCATAGTTTATATGCAAATACTGCACCATTTTATGTAAGGGACTTGAACATCTGTACTTGGGCTTCTTTGGATGACCTCAGAACCAATCCTATATGGATACCAAAGGACAATTACACATCTTTATCTATATTTGTCTGTCTATCTATCTATCTATCTATCATAGGAATTGATTCTTGCAACTGTGAAATTTGGTGAGTCCAAAATCATTTGCAGTAGATTGGCAGACTGGAGACACAGAAAGGAGTTGCAATTTGCTGGTCTAATCCTTTGCTCAGGGAAAGACACTCTTTGTTCTGTAAGACCTTCAACTGACTAGATGAGGCCCACCTGCATTATGGAGGGTCAACTACTTTATTAGCATCCACCACCTTAAATGTTAATTACAACCAAAAAGCACTTTCACAGAAACATCCTAAATAATGCTTGACCAAATATCTGTGCACTGTGATCCACCCAACTTGACACATAAAATTAACCACCACAAAACTATCATCCCTTGTCAATGTGACACCTACATGCATTTCTGTAAACCATATTTAATATTTAAATAAAGACTCCAACAAGGTCCTACTTCAGCCTCTCATGAAATAACTATTCGGTGCACAGCTGAAAATGCATGGACTGTTTCCCCAGAAGAATTCCTTGGGGGAGGTTTATTCTTTTCGATATTCCCTTACTTAAGGACTGTCATATTAAGTTGATAATACTTAGGATATAAAAGTAGTAAATCTCATGTTACCTGATGAGATATGTAAGTAAACACACATAAAATATTCATAATAAAGTGAGGAAGACCCTCTCATGATATTTACAATCCTCACTTCTATGGCTGATCACATGTTCATAGTTGGTATTTATTACCTTTTCTACTGCCCAATCTGTTATCCCTTTTGCCCTAAGCAAGCACCTTACCTGATTGTGGTTCTTTCCCTGTGGGTGACCCAAATCTTTATTCCTGATTGGTCTGGACCATTAGTTGTCCTGCCTGGAGTGGGCTATTGTAATTTTCCATTGATTTTAAGGTAATGGTAACACTAAGAGATGCCATAAAGGATCTCCTGTATTCCAGACTCACTCTTCCTTGTCTCTCAAGTATCATTCTAGTCAGTACCACCCCAGCCAGCACAGTAACTCTCTGCCTGATAACTTAGAGGTATGGGAATACAAAGTAACAATGTGGCAGTTTTAATTTCTAGTACAACAGAATCATACTTGTGTCTCCTAGTGGAAGAATTCTCCTTTGGAGAGAAAACCTCCAAGCCAGCAGATCATAAGGGTACAGGAATAGGAAATAAAAATTTTACTAGTGGGTAATTTCCTAGTGTCTTTCTACTTCCATCCCTGATTCCTGGACTCACGATCCTGGTTGTGTTGTTTGCAGTCAGATAGCTCTATTGGTCTGATCTGTAAAATCCTACAAGTTTGATGATTTTTAAATTTTATCCCATCTCTGTCACCTTCGGTCTAAGATAGCAGCAGCATTTCTGTTGTTTGGATTTTGATTCAAGAGTATCTAATAATCTCTTTTATATATATATATAATGTTTTCAGTAGTGTATTAGCTTTTTGTTACCATATGAAATACTGACATAGGCCACTTATGAAGAAAACGAGGATGATTTAGTTCACAGTTTTGGAAGCTAAATGTGCACATGGCATAGCGTGGGTTCTGTGGTGAGGGCTGCCCCTTGGCTGTTCATGGCACAGACAGCAATAGTGGTTGGAAAGGCATGCAGAACAAACAGCGATTACATTTGGAATCAGGAGCAGGGAGGAAGGAAAGGCTAGGCTTGCTCCTTTTATAATAACCCTCTTACAAGAACTTGAGGGGTTGCATGGGAATTATCTCATGCCCCCAGTGAACTAAGGACCTCCCAGTAGGCCCTTCCTCTTAAAAGTTCCACCACCTCCCAATAGGGCCACCTTGGAACCAAGCCTTTTTCACACATGAACCTTTGGGGGGGATAGAATTATGTCATATCCAAATCACAGAATCCAGCCTCACCTTCAGATGTTTCAGACACTAAAGTATACACACATGATGTTGACTGGACTTATAAGACAATTTTCTAAGGTATTTATCTTTGTAAAACACATTATTCATTACATCCTGATAAGTGCATGTCAGAAGTGGATTTATAAATTTCTTTTGATCACTGTTTTTTTTTTTTCATCTATTCATATTAGCCCTCAAATACCTCTGATTTGTTGGAACTGTTTCCTCCTCTGTGCTCTTGGTCCAGGTTCTGCCATCCTTTATCTGACATAGGTGCTGTTGAAAGCTCCTACCTGGTATCACCTCTCAGGCTCTTCCTTCTCTTTAAATACCTTACTACATGGCACTGAAACTTATTTTCCTAAATTACTATCTGGTCATTTTGTTTTCCGGATCCAAAGAACCTTCAGTGATTTCTGCTTTAAAAGCCATACCAGAACCTCCTTAGCGTGGTATTCAAAGCGTTTACCTTCTTATTCTACTTCTCCATTTCATCTTTTTCTGGTAAATGTTAATTGTCGGAAGTTATATGGTTCCTTGTTTATTCTCTTATTCATCAAACAAATAGTTATTGAGCATCTTTTATGTTAGCTTCTGGGGATAAAGGGTAATTAAAACAAAATTCCCGCTGTCTGGGAACTTCTGTTATCTTGTATATGCTTGGGGAGTGGGCGACACTATACAGTTATTTTCAGAGTGTCTTCAATACTGTGAAGATGAGAACCTACGTGGGAGGGGGTTACTTTAGCTTAAGTAGGCAGGAAAGTTTTCTCCAGAAGAGCATTTAAACTAAGACCTGAAAGAAGGCAGCCTAAGAGAAAAACATTTCAGACAGGCGTAGCAAATACGAAGGCCCCGAGATGGGTTTAACTTCACCTGAGAAGTCACCTTAAGTTTTTTTTTTTTTAAATACCCTTCATATAGTATTTGTCATTATCTTCCTTATAGTAATATTTTTCTATATCACTTGATAGACTACTTCAAATGTCATTTTTTTATTCTCTTGGTGACTATTAAGTTCTTAATAAATATATTGACTTTCACTTATACAGATAGAACTTATTCTTGCAGAGCTCTTACATCTATTCTGCATCTCATTTTTAATGTTTTATACACAAGTCATTACTAGTTTATCTAGTTGGCAGCTAGAGGTAAATGTTACCATTATATTACTCTCCACAATAGACCTTCAACCTTTCTTAATATAGCTATTTTAAAGTGAGATATTTATTGACTTAAATTGAGTCCACTTAAGAAAACGAGAAAACAGCTATTCTTGTTTCTTATTCTGAACCTTAAAGAATCTGTTTTGAAATAGAAAAACAAAAATTTTAAAAATCATTAATAAAAAAACAGATCTCAAGGACCTTATGATTGAGTTTGTGAGACATACAAGTGAAAAGATAATTTTAAAATTGTAAAATAAATGATAAGAGGGCACTAAACAAATGCTTATAAGTAAATATACAAAACTCTGGAATTTTGTGAGAGGTATTACTTCTGGTTAATGGTATGAAAACTATGAAGGGGGGAAAAAAGAAAAAAAGAATAGAAAGCTACAAAAAGCTCAAGTGTTAAAAAGAACCCATATTCCTCCAAATACAGAAATGGACACAGCTCCAAGTCTTAGACTGTGAAACACACCATAGCAAAATGCTATGAATTATTGATCTATGTCATGCTGATAACTAGAATATGCCTCTTAAGATCTCAAGATTTTGCCCCAAATAAATGCCATAGTCCTCCATTGCATAGTTGACATATTTTTTTTTCCACATAGAGAGCAGAGATTAAAGGGAAGTGAGTGGGCCTTTGAAGAGTGGAGAATTTCCCAACAGACACCCAGTTTTACGTTATAAAACATCAGGAGAAGTGGAACCTAAGGAAAAGTCATACGGATGTGTCATTTTATGTTGTTCATGACAGTCGTCTATCCCAAAGAGACTGCTGAAGTCACTCAGGAGTAAAAAGGGTGTGGGAGACAGTGGTTTCCAGATTGCAACACTGTCACTATAAACTTTTGGAGATTTGGAGTGGACCAGATTGACTCTTTAACTGCTCCAAACTGGATGGAGATGTGTTCTCAGGGCAAAGGGAATGGC